ATGTAAAACCGAGGATTTTTTAATCGCAGGTTGCATGATGATTCTTTCTCTTCTAATGTCATTCTCAACTTTTTACACATTTCGTTTTGCTTTTGTTCTTGATATTTTTTTTTTCAACGAAAGACAGTTTTTAACTTTGCGTGCGTTATTGCAATCGCCATAGCTGAATGATGGCTTTCTTTCCATAAAACTGACAACCTTTTCAATAGCTTTTTAATTTTTAAGTCCAGGTTTCATCACAGTCATGCATCTCGTCGCTATCTTGTTGCAGATATGTCTCGTTTTCATCCTTTCCTCTTATTCCCATCATCTTTTGCACCAATACAAGCCATTAGGGTGAAATAAGCATAAGCAATTATCCAAAGTAAATTTCCTGAACAACAGAAATTTCAGCTCAGTTACATATCACCCAAATAGTTCAAATATAGACATTAAAATCATGTCCGGATATGCGGGATTCCGGATATGAGGCACTCCGGATATTAGGGATTCCGGATATGAGGGATTCTACTGTATAATCAAGAAGAGACTTTCAGCGCTACCAAAAACAAAAGGGTTAATACTAGAATGGGATTAAATTTGGGAAGACTAATTTCCTAGAAATTCTTTTAAGAAAGAGTTTAAAAAGAGTACAGTAAGTCTGACTGTTCGGTCTCTGAATGTCCATTGTTTCCTGAATGGAAACGGTTATTTCACCATTTGCATTACCATTAAATTTTTCTTGTTTTCTCATTTGCTTATCACCCAAATCATCACTTTTGCACTTTCATGTTAGCATAAATGATAAATGTTTGTGTATTTTTTATTTTAAAAGCACGAATCTTTATAAAAATACACAAAAGAAAATATGTATCTTAATCCTAGAACACTAACCATCAATTAAAGTTACACCACTACTAACCATGGGTATATAATACCCGATTTTGAAAATATCAAAAAAAATATTAAATATAAATCTTTATTTGAAATATTTTACATGCAGGCACGTTAAACTTTGTACTTTGAGTTAACATTAATAGGAACTGAAAAACATTGTTTAGGTAAGAAAATCAGGTGCTGAAAATTGTAATTGAAAATAGGAAAATTTGCGCTGGGTACTATATACCCATTGTTAGTGTTCTAGGGTTAAATATTTTTAGAAAAGTATATTCGACAGAATATTGAGATATCGGCAGGGTTGGACCAAATTTGGCACGGAGCCATCATCTGAGAGTACCCAGTATGAAATTAGTTTACTATAACGAGGAGAAAAAAAAAACTCATTTTTCCTTATCACTGAACTGCAAGGAGTAGTGAGTACCTGTGATGAAATTTGTGTGTGTCGAATTATTTTCTTCATTAACATTTCCAAATTATTTACTATAACGTCCTAAAAGTACAGGAAGGCATTTCGTTTTTCTATTCAAGCAACGTGGAAAAAACAAGCACCCTCGTTGATTATACATTTTTCTTAGTAATCGTGGATTCGCAGATTAACGGCGAAAAGTGAAATCGGCGAACCAAGTTCAAATTCTGGTCGATACTATTTCATTCAATTCACGCTAAAAATGGATGAATCTACCTTCCTTAAGCTATGACTTATATAGGAGTGCAAAACTAAGCTCTTTTGTTTTGGGTTGGCGATCAGTATAGGAGAAAAAGTATTAATTTACCCCCAAATAAAAAGAATTTATATTTACTAAAATTCACACCAAATTCTCTCAGATGCGCGGCCCTTCCTTACAATCCATTTGGGTTGACCTATGCGATCCCGCCAAATGTGGGCGACTCGCGTGTGCTATTTCTAAGTGTGGGGTCTGCGTCCGCGCTCATCCTCATAAACAAGCCAAAAACAGATTTTTTTTCTTTTTCTTTTTAAATTCTTTGTAAGTATCTAGAATATCATCCGCACTTACGAAATGCGAATAACTCCTGGATTTTTGGTAATTTTACATTCCAAGGATGGGAGGCGAGGCAAGCTAAACAAATTTTGATTTAAAATTCATAATTTCAAAAGAGTGCCAAAACTTTAATTAAAAAGAAAACAAATAAAATTTGATTTAAAATTTATAATTTCTTGGCGTGAATTAATATTTGTGATAAGCAACTTTATATCATTTGGGGTGAATTAACAGAAAAGATCCAAATTTTTAGATATATCTGTCAAACAAGTTTAAGTATGCTATGTACTATTGTATTCAATACGACAAAAGGTCCACCGTGAGGAGAAACGAAATACATCCTATCTCTTAAATCGTCCTGTGGCTAAAACAGAGATGGAATTTTCACACTTTACTTACATATTATTTTAGCAATGCCATTTGGCTATTGTTAGCAGAAGTTCATTAGCAGACAAGTAAGGTAATCCTACAAGTTGATCTCTTGAGTCAGCGTTTTTTTGTTTTTTTATATATGATCCACTATCGTGACAACATTATGCCGATGTTCGATCAGACTTACATGCTAAATATTGCTCTCTAGCAGCTGTCCATAGTGTACTGATGCTTGTCCGTGTATTTGCATGCATTCGTGTACAGTTCTGTATAAAAAAAAATATTATTGTGCCTTTCACTATTCATAGTTTCTCTACCTTTTAAGAAATTCAACGATTTTAAGGCACAGATGTTAAAAGTAGATCTGTTTTTACTTTATTGACCTAATACCTGGAAAAATAAACCGGAAAGATGATCTATGAAGATTTTATATCATATTACCAGATTATTCAGGTTAAAGGTCAAAGCCCAAATCTCAGGAATGTACCTTCCGTTCATGTTGAGAAAGTTAGGGCGAAGAGTACACTTAGTCTACAAGTAAGACCGATAAATTTAGGGTCCTCTTTTTTTTTCCTTTGAAAAAACCACGTGTAAAAGAAAGAAAGAAAGAAAGAAAGAAAAGCTTTGTTCATATGTTTTTGCATCTGTACGTCATGTTTTATTTCTCTTTTTCACTTTCTCTATTTTTCACTCCCTCTTTTTTCTCTTGCGTTTCTTTCTTTTTCACATTCTCTTTTTCTTTTTTTCTTTTCCTCTCGTACTTTTTCTCTGTGCCTGTTCTTTTCTCCTCTAACCGAGTTTTGTAGCAAATTAAAAACGCCTGCTAAACACCAACACGCTAGCCATTTCAAATCTTTTAGACACCCCAGCTTCTTGCGCCTTTTCGGTAAGTTTTTAAAACACACACAAACACACACAGATGGGGTTTGAAGTTTCTATCAAAAAATGTGTAAGAAACCTAAACATTTTTTTAAAAAAAATACTTTTTCAATCTATTACCGTCTTATTCACTGTTTTTGTTCTACCTTTTAAACATACAGCCCGATCTCTTTAATCCGGCACCCTTTGGACAAATCCACTACCGGACCACAGAATATGCCTGATGACAGAAATCAAGCCTAAAATATATCTAACTGTTCTTAACAAAAGCCAAAGAAGAATCTGCAAAATTATCGGTCCTGACCTGGCATCACATCTTTAGTCCTTTTCCTACCTTTTTTTGACTTGACTTGAATCGGTTTTCACCCTGGTCGGTTTGAACTGGCTTCCTCCCGTGCAAGTACAGCATCACGGACCATCGCTGCCCACGCTCGCCGATCCTGAGACAGGTCACACGAAATGGCGAACCAATCGCGATTCCATCGTCGAAGACCATCTACTTGTGGACCCGATAGTACTGCTAGGTCATCCTTGATCGTGCTAGCCCACGTCCTCAGATGCCCACCGACACGTTTTCGTCAGCCAGGAAGAGAAGGAAGGAGAAGTACATCGCGGATGAGCTCTCCCACCGGGCGTCGAGCTGCGTGTCGAACCATCGGAGACGACGCTGGGGCAGGACGGGCAGAATAGGACAGAGACTACTCAGGCGTCGACGTAGAATGGCCGTGGGCACACGATCGATTAGGCGGCATAATTTTTCCTACCGCTGTAACATAGCTTCCTCATGCCCTTTCTTTAAATATTTTCTTGGCAATTGTTTTGGTGAGCTTTACTTTCTGGTACCTGGATATTAGGAATTTTAGCGCAGTACTAAATTGCCAGTTAAGTTTCATCATTTTACTGTTGAAATTGTTAGATAGAACCGTAAGTTCTATTCTAATAGTATCTTCTCTCGCACTTCTCGTCTCAGGAAATCTTGCTTTCTTGTCATTTTTCAAAAATGCAACGTCAATCGACCCCATCTGATTCCTTAATTCCTCTTCTTTTATTATACTCCTTCTTCAATAAAGTTTTCTTTGTTACACTCTCAGTAACAACTTGCGTCTTAGTAGCTTGTTTGTGTTGACATGTTTAAAAAATATCTGTGGAAGCAGGAAAAAATCAGAGAAATTGATAAAGATTTAAGATAATTTCACAAGTAGACAACAGGTAAATGTTTGGTGTTGATTTTTATTTCGACATTTTTGGAACGCAGGAGGTGCAGTGTTCAAATGACGCCATAATTATTTCTATTTATGATTTACTTTAGGAGTAAGATTGTGTAAAGTCTATTTTTCAAGAGAGAAAACTATCTCGTAGCTTCATTAATGATAAGTATTCGATATTCTAGGATTTCATCATCACCATCAGTCTCTTGACTGGGTGGGGTCATAGTGTCGCTGTGTATCTGAAAACCTGACCAGCTCCCTTCACATGTCTCGGCAGGTATTCATCCATGCGTAGCGCGTCTTTGGGCAAACTAAAACTTTCCAGGTTGGACCACTGTCGACATCGTCTGACTTGAAGGCTCGCCTTGATCACAGACACTTGGCCGTTTATTTCGATCTAAGATTGACTGATTTCTTCTTTTATTTTACGGTTTATCAAACTTTTGAAAGTTATTTGAAGAAAGAAAATATTTTTAGATTGTAATAATTTTTTGGAGACACTGATACATGTCCAGAGCCGGAAAGAGAAGCGGTAGATACGTACCTTTCCCAAGGTTTTTTTTGTGCGTAAGTGAATATTACAAACACTACTGGAATTCGAACTCGGCTCTCCATTTAATAATTCCAAGCCGTTATCCATTACACTACCCGCACATACAAGCTTACAGCGCCTGGCATTCCAAGGCACTCGCCCATCTAGGTACTGACTAGGCTCGACGTTGCTTAACTTCGGTGATCGTACGAGAACTGGTGTTTTAAAGTGATATGGCCGTGAGTCTTCAGTATAAGAAGCCCACAACAATGGATATGCTGCCAGTAGGTCAGTTCCGCGTGTAGAGTGAGTCTACAGCCGGTCGAAATTCACTGTTGCTATTGTCTCTCGGTTGAACTCCCCACTGTTGAGAACTGTTAGCCTTTTTTTTTCTTTTTTTTAATTTATTAAGAGGCTATTTGTCCGGTCCCGTTAAAATAAACAAACATGCTTTTAAGCTTATTTTACCGAACTCGGTAAAATAGACCCCCAGCTGCCTAATTTGCCGGTAAATATTTTTATACTTATTAAGGAAGGTAATATTAAAAATAACAACACACAGATTTAATACAGAAGTTTATTTATTTTCACTATCACTTGTTAAGACAATTTCAGGTCTTTTCCTCCATCAATTGTCAAAACACAAGTTAAAATCATTTATTCGTCATCAATTATTAAAAGAAATATAGAAGTCTCTGAATATTTTAAACAGCAAGCATAGGTCTCTATACATCCCAAACTTGCTCTTGGGCATGGTTCATTTGCCAATACACTTCAGGTGCACCCACTGAAGACAACAGTCACAGACCACAGAATCCATGTTGTTCAAGTCCTGCCTACACAGACATCCTGGGTAAGACGATAAATTACGTCCAGAGGCAAGGCCACTGATCAGGAGATTTCGAGGAGCGTAGAACCACCTCTTAATTGCTGGTGTTCCCAGGTCCACTCTGACCCTGGGCGGTAGCACCTGTTAAGGTCCCAGCTATGGGCAAATAGTTAACCCCGAAACTGGAGTAAAAACACTATGAAAATGTAAAAATAGGTTTTAATGCCAGATATGCTTTGTAAAAAAAAAATAAGCAATAAATTTAAAAAAAAAAAAAAAAAAACTATTACCAGCATTAGATTTTTGAAAAAAAAAAAATTTACCAACAATGTTTTTGAAGGAAAAATATTACCAGAAATAGATTTTTGACAAAAGAAAGTATTACCAGCAATAAATATTTTCGGCATTAAATAACCCATTGGGGTTGATATGCCGTAAAACAAGACAAACCAAACCAAACCAAACCTGTCTACACAGCTTAGACAACCACTGCACCGACGATCTCGAATATAATATATTCTTAGTTCTAAAGTACTATTTATATTTACCGGCAAAATAGACTTTGTGTCTATTTTACGGGGACCAACAAAATAACCTATTCGTATTTTTAAAATGTTTTTTGACCCATTTGAACTCTTCTTCATGTAGCACTTTTTTTTAAGCGAGAGTGCTTTTTCCCATGCAAAAATAAAATAAAAAAAAATCGTAATCTCATTGTCCTCGGAAATATGGCTTGAGCCTGTCAACAGGAAGTAGGGACACTGAATCTATCATTGCAACAGAAGTGCTTATCTGTGTTAAATTGTCTGAGGGCAATGAAATTGTACGTTTTCAGAATCTCACGCACACACAGAAAACTGTCTGACTAATTGACCTGAATAAGTATAAAATTACAGCTACTTTTTTTTGTATCCTGTTTCGGTGAGGATCGTAACAGACAGTTTTTCAAGTCAAGTGTAATATCCACCGAATAAATAACACGTCGTTAATATCACAATCAAAGCGAACGAATAGTTTCTTCAAATGGATATTCTCCGTTACTCGACTTAGATTTCATTTGCTATGCATATAGATTTACTGTTTACTCATTCTGAAACATTGCTTTTCGACAATCTTCAATATTGGCGAAGAGTAAACGGTAATGTTGATACAAATGGAAAAAAAAGTGACACAAGTGAAAAACGGACTCTTTAAACAGCTTAAAATTAAACACCCGTAGCTGTTTAATTTTAAGCTATTTAAAGTTAAATTTCTAATGAGAGGAGAGTTGTTGTCTGTTTATTTACTTATGGTTCAGTTACTCTGGAACCGTCAAATACACACCATTGATGCCAGTGGCTCTACCACAACCCCACCATTGGAGTCATATTAAGTAATAAAGGAATAGAGATTATTTGCTTCCAAGGATGTAGGTATACAAAATAGATTATAAGATCAACTACTAGCAGATGGACATTTTTTTTCCTATTTTTCTACTTGTTGCATTTTTACCGGTGTTATTATTACTTAAATTAATTCATCACGAATAGACGAGAATTCAATGTAAATCACGTTTGTCGAATTTACCTCAGTCGTGTATAAAAGAGTTTTCAAAGGACTCGGCAGTTACATTCTGGAATTTAGATTTGGACCCGATTTGAAATTTTAAAAAAGATTGTTTTGTTTGGGGCGGAGGTGTCTTTCAGTTTAATAAATCTGTGGTGGCGTAATTGAAACGTAAAATGGAATCTGTGAACTGAGTTCAGATTCTGATAGAAGCAGCTTCAGTTCAGTCCGTAGAAGGCTTATTTTGAGGCCCGATCTAACTCTTTTTTAGTGCATCCCCCCCCTACCGGAAATTCCCATCTAGCTCTTTTTCTAATAAATATTCATTATTTCATAAATAAAAAAAAATATATGCTTGATTTACAAGGGCTAAATGCACCGAAAAGACTATTCTAGTTCCAAAAGAACTAAATTAACAACTCTCTTCCTTACCATTGTCTTTGAGAAAGACAATATATGGGAATGACTACTGGACAATCTTCTCAGAGATGAAGAAATTTGAAGCAACAGAAATGTGGTTCTGCAGAAAGACGCTGAGAATGCCACGAACCAAACATGTGAGCTACGACGAAGTTCTAGAGACAATGAAAACAAAAAGGACACTTATACTTAACACCAGGAAGATAATAACGTGGAAAGAGTGCTTGGAAAATTTGATACTCACAGGACAGATCGAAAGAGAGAGATAGAGGAAAACAACACATAGCCTACCTGACGAACCTTAGTGAATGGATGGAAGAGTAGCGTTTGGGAGAGATGGTCAAAAGGACAAAATTTATTGAGACCTACAAAAGTCAGGAAGTTGTAGTGAACCATAATCGCCAACATCCTGAACGGAAGAAGAAGAAGAAGAAGAGCAAACTGAACTCTCTAGCCTTGGTTAACAACCAGTCTAGGAGAAAGACAACTGTGAATGCAAAACTATGAACTGGAAACCACTATGCTATCTTTCTTGAGGATAGTCATGACGATGCAGAGCTTGTAGATGTTAAAAAAAAAACAGGAATCTTTAGAGGGCCATGATTATCTACGCCATGGAAAAAATTGCTGAGATAAAATATTTCAGCTTGGGACATCTATATTTTATCATTCGAAGAATTAATCTTTGTAATTCCCTTTACGAATGTCTTAAAAGTAAACTGCAATATCAAGGAATCCTATGCATCTTAATTCCCAAATTCTACAATTTGTAAAAATCACAATTACTTTAAAGTTGTATGATTCAGTACTCGATGGTGGTTTAAGCAATTACAACCGGCTTTTCGTATCCGCGCATTTTACATTTATTCATTAAACCAACCGCGGACAGAAAAAATCCAAAAAGCTAAACTTAAATTTCCCAGCGTTACGCTGAATCCATGTGAATGACATGATGTGTAAGCATACCTTCTCGCCATTTTCATAGAACCTCAGTTTCATTTCTTGTTTAAACATTGTTTATCTCGCTGTTTGTCTTATGCATACCCTTTGTTTTTACTCCAAAATTCTGAAAGAAATATTTTTTTTTAAATTCGCCCTTTTTTTTTTTTTACTAAAAAAATGAAATTTTATTAAAATCCATTAATTTGTTTATTTTTTGTAGACTTTTGAAATCGAGATTTTTTTTTTTTTTTTTTTTTTTTTGCTAAAAGACAATACAAATTATTACGTTGTATTTGCAGATAAATGACTTTTCACGCTATCACTTTTCATAAATACCTCCGCTACGGTTTATATAGTAGGGTAGACCGGGCTCTCCAGCATTGGTTGGCAACAAATCTAGAAGAATAATTGAATTCAAAACCTTTTGGGTGGGGAAAAACGTTTTTGCTACAGAAACCACAGACACAACACTTAGCCTGTTGAGAGCTTTGGTCCCATACGCCTAAGTGGGGTTTACAAGACTGAGAGTGAGGTTTTCTATGGAGGCATATAAAAATGATTTCATTTCTATTCAGATAATTTTAATTTCATCCTGAAACTCAATTCTACAATTTTTTTCTCGAAAATCGAACACCTTATCAATGGCCTTCCTATGCACGGCACAGCAATATTTGGATTTACACTAACAGATTGTCATCTGTACTGAATGTTTTTTATTCTTTTATATTGTTTTTAGGTAAAGAGTTCCCAAAAGTGGAGACAATGAATACAGCTAATGTCGTTTATTCTTGGTATATTGACGTTTCCCCAATCAATACAATCTTATCATTTTCAAGTCTAGGATTAATCGCTATCTTTCTTATATAATATCATAAACCGCACTTCCTGTCTTTACTCTTTACCTTGAGCGGCTCTTGAGCCTTGTATTAGATGAACGCCGGTAAAAAAAAAGCGCTGTTGCGGCCGAATTAGCATCACTTTCTCTATACCTGCATAAAAAGCCTAAAAAACGATTTCTACTGTGAATTCAGTCTCCAGACTTCAGAAAAGAAGTTGCTTGGAACTTTTGTGCCTAATAAATTATTTAATGTTTGATTTCATTTTCATCGCCACATAACCTGACCGTGCGTCTCGAAAAGGACCTCCAATCGGTTGTGAACTGGGGCAGGAATTGGCTGGTCAACTTTAATGCCTCAAAAACAAAACTGCTCTCTATTAATCACCCCAGAGATCCTTCCCTGCCCTCCATTAGAATGACTGACGCTCAACTTCTTGGTCTCACGTTGACTGCTGACCTGAGATGGAACAATTACATTGAGTCAATTGCTTCGTCCACCGCAAGGAAAGTTGGCTCCCTGTGCCGCGCCAGGAAATTTTTCTCCCCGGAATCGATCCTCCAGATCTCCAAATCAACAATTCGCCCTTGCATGGAGTATTGCTGCCATATATGGTCTGGAGCTCCTTCTGTTTGCCTCGGGGTTCTTGATAGGCTCCAGAGGCGGATA